TTAAAGGCAAAAGTCAGGCTTGTGTTTGGGCATTATGGCGCCTGAAATTGAGTGTAGAGATGGGAGGAGAAATGACATTGAAGAAAAAACGCAAAGAAACCGTCGACAAGACCGAAATCGAAACCCCTTCCTTTCCAGCAGTGAAGGAGGCTTGCTCGGGGGAGAGCCACGTCCAAACGAGTTTTCCGGATATGCCAGCCGTTCCATCGGTTGATACGGCAATCAACCTAGCTGATCTCACACGTTAGGCCAGCCACGCACCACATCCCGCGGTGGGCGGGACCAGCTGATGTAACGAACCCATCGCTGTAAGTAGTAGGCCAGAAGCCTTGACGGCGCGCAATCTCGAGTCAGGAGTGTGGCATCACCCCTCTGAGCGCATTCCTGGAAATATTAGTGATGGAAAGGCCTTCTATGGTCACCTAATCCTGACTCGTGGCTTTAAATACCGTAGATCTGTTACATAAATCTGACGACGCGAACGCTTCCACCTGCTTCTTGAATCTTCTTGGCAAAAATATTTTACTCTACCACAGCATCCTATTTTATCGATCAATTTGCCTCTATTATCCAACTTTCAATTCATTTTGATTTGTGTCTTTCAATGCTTCGGCTGATACGTGGCCGGCCCCAAACCACTTCCTTACATGCGCCCCGTTGGCCCCGCCCTATCTACCGGCGATCGTCCACAGAGAGTGGAGCTTCGTAGGTTTGTTTGTTTCGCATTGTACTGCGTGGGAGTTGGTATATGCTGTCTTTAGAGATCACAAATGTCGTGTTCATGTTGGGAGAAAATGCAAGAATTTTTCGTGAACAATTTGAATTTTTCAAGAACACTCCTTCAATGTTAATTCTTCGTCCGACATATCACTGACATCATTCGCATTCTCAATGAGTTCCTTTGCTTGAAGTAAATCCGCTCAGGATTAGTTTCCCAAATGTCAGCTCAAGGAACACCGGATTTCCACTTCCTACTGCGCTGCTCCTCACAATGACACTTACATCTACAGCTCCACCCGATAACTGTAGAAATGTCATTATTAAAAGCGAGATACATAGATTTGCTCTGAGCAGCCGACCCTTGTTTTTTCACGTACAAATCGATTAACTCACATTGAGAAATAGAAAGAGTGGGAGTAAAACCGCTAACTACATATCCTATTGAACGATGACTTACCAGGAAATGCTTTCAACTTCCCATGGAGCTATGAACGGAGACTGGGATGAATCCATAGACTAATGAATGCTAGTTACAAATATTGAGGTCAAGACTGCTACGTAAACATTCCAAGCAAATCGTGGGCGGTCAAAGTTGACAGGAAGGGTAGCGTCAGTATAGGAAGCGAGCTAATCTGACCGCATCGGCGCTTTTTGTTTTCCTGGAACAGTACCCATAGGGGTAAACGGATGGCCTGGTCACGAATATGCAGTCAGTTTTCGAGACAGAGCAATCGGCGTCCGCAGTTTGGTGACGCAACTCACTTTTTTACTGCATTTCTTGCCGACTTTGACCTGCTCACAACTTGCCTGGAAAAGTCGCATAGCAGTTTTGGTCTACGTATCTGTGAATAGTATTCAGTACTCTACCGATTAGCCTGGGTCTCCATACAAACTTCCATGGGAACTTGGAAGCATTCCCTGGTTAAATAGCTACATGTAATCGTGGCTTTCCTTTTGACATTCCATGTGCACCAACTTTTTACTGTAATACGCAAACTTCTGACACTCGCATTACTTGGATTGGTATAATTAGACAACCAGGTGAAATTCCGATTAATAGTCCAACATCTGCTTCGCTGCAAAATATTACGAACAATTGTTCCTCTTCAGCATCTATTCTTATCCCAAAAAGAGAGTGATTATGGATATGCGAGAATAAAAAAATAACAAAAAAAAATTATATTTATTCAATTCTGATAGCCAAGAGCAAAGCAATTCACAAAGCCACCCATTCTGTGAATGTTTAAGAGTGGAATTCCTTTGACAAGCGAGAACTGCGAATAAACATACAGTGATTGATTCTTCATCACTGACTACTAAAGAAAGTGGTCGCACTGGCTTATAGGTGGATATTGACGGAAAGGGTCATGATAAGAGCTAAAACAGAAAGTAGTTTCACAAGTGAACCCTTTGAAAGACACCATTTTCAGGTTGAAAGCTCCTTCCGTGCCCCGGAATGCAGCTACTCTTCACGGCTAAGTCTACTACCCAATCCACTAAGTATCTTTCCCTTTCCTTCTCACAGGATCTTCTATCGCGACCGCTTTCTTTAACACATTCACGACGACGCCCCTTTTCCACTTTTCGGTCGCGTGGGACGGACGCGATTTTGTGGGCGCCTCACCACATAACCGCAGATTTTGTTTTGTAAATGAACAAAAACATGAATGTCACAAAATAATTTCTGCAATGTCCAATGCGTAAAGATTATCTAAACATATAACAGTAGGATTTCGATCAGAACGACAAATAGTGGTTACGAAAAGAGAGCATTTATTCACTTTCCCCGTGAAGGAATTAAAAGCATTTTACACTCGATTACGAGGTTTGCCCACCTATCTGTCCATTCCTAGCGCCTGGCAAGCGATTATCAGTTGGCAGCCCATATGGGCTGCCATCGTCCCAGGAGCGCATGTTGTTGGCAGCCCATATGGGCGGCCATCGGCGTGAATGTGTTAATAAAGTGATATCAGAGAAAAAAAAAACTAAAGCTCCAAATCGTACTATAGAGAAAAATGACCTTTCTAAACTCGTGCAGAGACCGCTGAAAACCCGGAAGTGTAAAAAAGTGGTTTTAGAAATGTACTCTAGTTCTGGATTAAAAGTGACTGTAGTAGAGGTTATTTGTTGATCGAACAATGCTTAGTTACAACATATCCCTGACTGGGTGAAATAATTGATAAAGAAAAAGCTCTAAAACGCGAGAAAAAAGTAGTAGATGAAAATGAGAAAAATCCGATGGAAATACAAGAGTAAGTGTGAGTTAGACAAACGTCTGTCGCAAAATATCCATGTCAAACTGCCATTTCCATCTTGATCGGTTTTTGAGGATTATAGTTCTTTAGTATGATTTTTTCCGCAGTGAAGTCGTCAATGGTACTGATTCCTTCGCCGAATTCTATCGTTGGAAAAGCGGTTGGTGTTCGTTCGAGCTGCAAATTTCTCAGTAATATAAAGGCACCCAGCCGAATTCATTCCAAAACTCCCTCAATCGTGACACCAAGTCTCACAATTTTGTTCGGTCTTGTATACGAAGTTATTTTTTCTCTTCACTGTCGTTCCACCTCCCATCTCTACACTCAATTTCAGGCGCCATAATGCCCAAACACGAGCCTGACTTTTGCCTTTAAAGACGCTATGGGTGCGTGTTTGAAGGTACGGATCGCAAAGTTCATTTAGGCGTCGCGCGAGTTAACGTCAAGGAAAGCCCGCCTTTGGACACGGTTTTGGGGACGGGAGGGGGAACTACACGTAAATATTCTCATGAAAGGTTGGATATGTTTTTTTAAAGTAAGAGAGAAGATTTTAGCTGCTTAATGAGAACCGCGCACGACATTAGGTTGCATAAACACGTCGACGACAGGCTGGCGCGCACGCGCGTCAGCATATCGGCAACAATTTTTCCCGCACGTGCCTATGCCCGACTTCTTCCCATGTTTTTGCGCTCATTCTATAGGCCATACATTAGCATACTTAAAAACCACATGGCTCACAGAAAGGCCAAATATTCTTTAGTTTGGCAGAGGTTTTCCAGACCTTACGGATATGTCTGTTCAGTTCATTCCTCGTTTTCTTTTCATTAACGTAAACATGTTGATAAAAAGGAATAATAGAAGTGAATACAAACCTATTCGTATGGAAGATATGTGTTTTTACTGAAACAACCACGTCCAAATTAATTTTGGAACCACTAAAGGAAAGTAAGTAAAATTTGCCTTTTCATGGCCTTAACACGTCATTTCGGTCGAACTTCCATTACTGTAACTCCCGATAAGTTAGACAGATCGAACATTATTGAAAACACTTCATCGCATCTAAGTATTGCGTATTTACAGCTCAAAATCCATGGATTTGGTGTGCGGCGGCGGCGCTCGCAAAATCGCTCTGGTCCCACGCGGTGCAAAAAGTCAAAACGCGCGATGTCGCCAACGGTAAATCTTTCTTCAGTGCCTTATTCACGAGCATTGCTCACTAGGAAAAGAGCTTTGAAGGTGCACAATATCTCTCATTCTTTTAGGCCGCGTTCATAGTTCGCGACTCCGGAGATTAGGATAGTATTGACGCGAGATAGGATAGGATAGTGTAGATTGGGATAGTAGTAGAGTAGGAGATTGCGATATTAAGATAGTTAGGTATAGCAGTAGAGTAGGAGATTAGGATAGTAGTAGGTTAGGATAGTGCGCTGGACAATTAAATAGGTATTGATCGATTCGCTTGAGGACGCCCTAATCTACTACTCTCCAGCGATTTCAATCGGTACGTGCCCATTCTTGTCAGCGCCAATCTCACTAGCTTCTGACAACAATCCTCCATGATCCTATACTCGCGGCTATCCTAATCCTACGGAGTCGCGAACTATAAACGCGGCCTTATGCTTCCAAAACTTCTCACTACCCATTTTAACAGTTATCAGATTTGACTGATAAGCTCGCTGAAAGCAAAGACTGAAAATGATAAACTCGGAGCAATGAACTCTCAGACAGCTTGGAGTGGCTTGATTATGCGGAAAGATACAGTTTAAGCTCCGCACACTACCGCGTGCATGACACGGAAGGGCTCCGTAAAGCTGGCCAGCCGGAGGAGCGTTAGGTTCTGCCGCTAAACAATAACTTTCTTCGTGAAATGCGTTAGCTGGCCTTCTACAGAATGCCCATTTTTAACCAACCGTCTGATACGCGCGGTGGAGTGCGGAGCTACAGTGGTGTCTGTAAACAGCCACCATGCATTGGATGTCAGGATGATTTAGCGGTCGAATAATATTGATGCCAATGATTTTGCAAGAGAAACACCCCTTATCGTAAAGTCGGCCCCTAGAATACATTGCTTTTGGGACTTTGGGACTGTAGCGGTCGAACGGTATTTTATGTTGATGATAGCAACGCAGTGAGATGATTCTGAAGTGAAATGCGTTATATAGAATATGGTTTTAAGTGGTCTATATGTTTCTACGAACTATCGTAATTATCGGCTCTTATCGGCCCTTATCACTTCCTGTACCCCACGAACATGTTCCCGTCCCACCCTGTACATCACTTCTTGGAACCAACGCCCCACTGCTGCTGGGACGCGCGCTATGAATTTCGTGAAATTTGCGTTTCAGCGCCTCTTATCAGATCTTATCATTCGGTATCACTTTCTAAACCCCACCAAATATGTTGTTCCCGTCCCACGCTGTACATCACTTCTTGAAACCAACGCCCACCACTGCTGCGGAAAACGCACTGAGTTAATATGCATGAAATTGGGCGTTTTGGCGCCTCATATCAGATCTTATCAGTTGGTATCACTTTATAAACCCCACCAAATATGTTGCCGTCCCATCCCCTACATCATACTCAAAATACAGCGTTCCATGCCTGCAGCGAGGCGCGCTATGAATTTCGTGACAGGACACCACACACAACCCACACTGATCACAAAGACAGACATACTAGCGAAATTAGTATTATAGTAGGGACAAGTCATGCATAAGATGTATTACATTACTGCACTGATACTGCTAATCACGTCTACGCTTATCACGTGCTGCCGAGTAATAAACAAGGTGAGACTCATTTATGTTTAGTGTGATGACTGTAGAACAGGCAAAAAATGACGCGTATTGGACGGCTGTCAGAATTTATATATGGCATAGATACCGGAAGACCGTAATAGCTATCGGTATTGGTTTGGTCGCTGTAACAGCAGGCACCATCTACTACGTCATGAAATATCGAGAAGTAAGTTTGTACTGCTTATTGTATCTATCTTCAGCTATTATAGAAGTAAAATGCTTGCGCTGGCGCACATGGCCTTAGGGGGACGTTCAAAACAGGGCATTTAGAAATCGCTGCTAGGTGACATCAGGACTAGGCCCAGCTGAGAGAAGAAAGGCCAGGGAGAACAAAAATTGCTCATGTCCTCCCCCAGACACCTTCCCCTCCCCAAGGCTTAGTCCCAAATCTGTTAAGGGCTCGCTCACTTCATTCCCCCACTCCTAACGACATTAGCTCTGCTTGGAGTTGATCCCACTGAAGCAACGTAAACCATAACTCAGCTGAAGATGAAGGTCCACCTCGAATCCTGGTTTCGAAGACACCTGTTGGCGCAATCGCGCGGCGGCATCCTCTAGAACTAAGCCAGGACAGAACCTTGGGGTAAATGAAAACGTTTACGCTCACGTACCTTACCATCTTGTTGGTGTCTTTCCTTCCCTGCCTGAGGCTTAGTCCTGTTTGCAGCAAAAAATTAAATAAACGCGGTTTGGAAGCTATGCCATCACAATGCCTCGCATTCTGCGATAGCGCCCGCCTGTTTCGTCTTGTATGAATTTGGACAAGTGGTCTGAAAAAGTTTGAATTTTTCAGCTTCGAGGAGGTGGGACACGGAATCAGTCGAGAATCGCCGTGCGAAAACATTACGGGGGTGAAAGTTTTGCATTTCCTGAGGAGAGCGTCCAGCCGCTAGGCTGATAGGTTGATCGCCAGTAAAAGGCCGGTTAAACACGCCGTGGATGAAATGAGGGAAATTTACTTTCATCTTCTGCGATTGACGACACTCCAATACGCTCAAAAGCCGTGAGCGATTTTAAAGCGTTTTACGGCAGCGAGTGCTGACTTGTAGGCAAAAACCATGAGAAGCAACCTATTCTGCCGAAAGGATAATGCTGAAGTGGGCTTGTGACAGGGCCAGGAACGAGAACGACGT